CGATGATGCTGGTCAGAATCCAGAAGGCGTCCTCTGCGGACGGCATGATCAGCAGCAGGTTGGCCGCGATGAGATTCATGCCCTGGCAGTAACCGACCTCCGGGTTCCGGCGGGCGTAGGCTCTGAGGACCTCCTTCAGCTTCGACACGCCCGGCCCTTTTCGGAAGAAGATGTTGTCCGTCAGCGTGCGGTTGATGTCCATCTCGATCTGGGACACAGCGGTCGGGTCGTCGTCCTTGTCGGACCGCGCGATGATGTCCTGGTAGTATCCAGGAACGCGCAGCGTGTTTGCACCTGAGCACTCCGACCAGACCTTTGCACGCAAGTTGACCGGGATTCCACCGAGAACCAAGTTCCTTAGCTCGGTTCTCTTAGCGCGTCCAACTTTGCCCTTGATTCCAAGGCCAGTGATGCCAATCAGTTCGCCGTCGGCGAAGGCAGCTTCAGGCAGATTCACTGCCGGGCGCTCGTAGCGAGCTTCGGCAAGGGCCGCTGCCGCTGCCGCTGCAGCCTCGCCGTCTCGCTTCCTCTCGGCCCTCACTTTGCGCAAGAACTCGTTCCAGCGAGCGGCCTTTACTCTCTGCAAGGAATCGTGCAGGTCGCCCATATGCTGGAGAAGAAGCTTCACCGGCTCCGTATCGTCCCTGACCACCGTTCCTCCTGTCGCATCCGTCTCAACAGGAGGGGTCGCATCGCTGTCGATGACGGACGTAGTAGTGCTCGCAATGGGAACGAAGCCCCGCTCGTCGGCAGTGATGAGACCGGGCGACTTCGTTCCCAGCTCGCCACCTTCTAGCACTTCAAGAGACGGCGCGCTGAGGGCGGGGGTGTGAGACAAGAGCTCGGTCGGGAACGTTGCTAGCTTGAGGTAATCTTGCCACTTCTTGGACCTCCCCCCCTCGCCTGCGCGTTCCTCCGCCGACGACGGGCTGTCTGGTCCGTCTTCGCCACTTAAGGGGCTCGGAACCTCCTCTTCTTCGATCATCGGCGAGGACAGATCGGACCGTCCGTTGGAGAGCATCTCGGCGCGGCTTCCCTGCTTTAAGTGGTGAGCCATCTGTGCAGCCTCGCGCTGCCTCTTCTTCCTACGCTGGTCATAGATGAAGCCAAAGCGGTCAGTGAGGTACTCGCTGCCGATGTAGTTGTTGTAAATATGTGTCAGGGTTGGAGGCTGAGTCTCGGGGGGGAGAATCGCATCCATCTCGACGGGACCGTAACTTTCTTGTCGGTTGCCCGTGGTATTCGTCGGGCTCAACATTGCGTCCCATCTGTCTTGCGGCTGTGTCCTAGTAGCGGTGGCGGGCTGGAGAGAGTTGAGGTTGGTGGCCGTCCTGCGCATGGCCATGAGGGCCTTGGGACCGCCCTGTGTCGAGACTGCTCTGCTTGACTGTGTGGTCTTGGCACTCGAGGCTGAGGACGCTCGCGCGGTCGACTGCGGATGGGTGGCGCTATTAGACCTTCCGCGGTTTGGGCCGCTCTCGCGCGTGTTGATGGCACCACCTGCCACCAGCCTCATGAGACTGGCTGCGACTGAAGTTGATGGCTTGCGTGAACCAGGGGGGCCAGACTGGATGCTGGATGCTCGACTCGGCGTTCTAGGCGGGACGCTCTCGGGAAGCACGCCTTCGCTAGGCGGGCTGAAGAGGTCGTCCTGGAGGCCAGGTCTCCTGTCGGCGGTTGACTGTGTCCTTAGGATGGTGGCGGGCCTCAAGTCGTCGCCGTTGACGCTGCTGGGCACGCTGCCCTTCCTGCTCGACCCGCCCCATAGGTAATCCTTCCAGCCCCTCGCAGTTCCCCTGCCGTCGGGGTTCGAGGAGGTGGCCAGGTTGCTGGCGCGGATTGTGGCGTCGCTGACCTCGGTTTGGCCAAAGACATTGTAGATGACGGTGTCCTGCATGGCATCGCTCATGAGATCAGAGAGGCCGCTCTCGTTTCTGCGGTTACCTGGGCGGGTCGTCTTGACCTCGCTTTCAACGGCCCTCAGCCTCGTCTCTAGTTCGAGGTTAGAGAGCCCACATTCTAGTATGATCTTGCGCAGAGCCCTCTCTCTTTCATCGGCCTTCCTCCGCAGCTGGGCGATCTGGGCATCGCGCTGGGCCAAATCGGTGGCAACCTGCCTAACGAGTGCGACGGCGCCGTGTCTGGCAATCAGGCGGCCGATGTGCTCATCGTCGGCGTGGTGGAGGGCGCCGGGGATCTTGTGGGTCGAGATGGGCGAGTCCTCGAACAGGGCGTCGCGTGCGGCGTGCTCGGCAGAGGGGCCGCCAGCCAAGCCGCCCAGCAGAGAGATGGGACTGGGCCTGGTGTCGGAGATCTTGCGAACGGTAGCGGGGGGCTCAGGTTCCGGGGGCGAGGCGGTGGGCGAGGCCGGGGGAAATGCGTGTTCGGGCGTGGGGGAGTCGGGAGGAATGGAGGGGAAGCTCGTCAGGGACTTGTCCTCGGAGGCAGCGATGGAGCTTGCGGAGCTCGAGGGTTGGGAGGTCAGCTTGGATCGTTTGACTCGAAGGGCCGAAGAGCGAGTGCTCCTTATGGACGTGGCGCTGTGCTGGGAGACGGAGCGCTCGAGGGGGAGGGAAGGCGGCTCGGAGTCCATCGTTGGCGGGCGATGATGTCGCCAAACGTCATGGTTTACGACAAAAGCCAGCAGGGGGTGTGTCACTGCAGATTCGCTGCAGGTTGCGCTGCTATATGTCGTGTGTGTCAGGTGGCGAGGATACGGTTTAGACTTTGGCAAAGGTCGTAGGAGGCGATGCTGAAGGGCGGTAAAAGAGGAGAAGTAAGTGTGAAGTTGTGTGGAAAGAAAATGAAGCGTAGCGCAGAAAAGGCGGAGAGGGAAGCGAAGAATGAAAGCACTGTATTGTCGAGGTCGGAATTGGGACGTGTAGACAAAAGTGTGTGGGCACCACGATATCATTATGCAATCTAATCCCAGAGCAGCATCAGACGTGACAGGGGGGAGGGGGGTCTCGGTCTCGAAGTCTCTCTGGGGTGCTGCTGGTGCCGTGCTGCGCTGTGCTTTCCGGGTTGCTCTGGCGAAGCCTGGGTGGGTCAGGCGGATGGGTACCTAGGCAGGCGGATACGTGTAGGTAGGTAAGTACCTTCGCTGGATAAACGGGTGGTCATGTACATGCACACCTACCTAGCTGTTAGATTGCGTCCGTACCGCCAGTGATGGACGAGGGTGAGGGAAGGGGGGACTTTACCCGCAGCTTCTATCCAGATTCCATCCATCGCCTCAGGTACGAGTACATCCCACAGCTCAAATTACCACCAATCTCACCACCTTAGCGCAGCCCAGGGTACGTACCGACCGGCCAACCCACTGCCAAATCCACTTCCAGCCCAGTTCGACGGTTGTCTTCCAGGGGGGGGGAGAGAACCCTCGCCCATCAGTGCCTTATGCACATCAACAAACTTACTAACTTTGGGGAACGGAACCAAACGTAAACATGTATCCGTACGTTGGGTCTCTAGGTACCTATCCAGTTGCCGTAGCAAGCGCCCACATGAGCCAAATGTCAACAGGAACAAGTCACGCCAGCGAGAGAAGAGAAGACAAGACAGAAAGGAGGTCACAGTGCAGGGGATGGATATCCAGTTTCATCGACTCGGCTACAACTCATCGTGTTTGCATTCGCATAACAAAAAGGTGCACGCATACCATAGCATACCATGCATATCCCATGGCATGCCCCCCTTTCACTCTTTCACTCTACATACTAATACCGGTACTGGTAGTACGGAGGACATTGTACCTAGGTAGCCATTTATCTTCGAGCCCAATGACGCTAGCTTACCCAATTAAGTAAGCCCTATTCCCCCTCACACCCTTGTCGCCCTGTCTCCAAGGGAGTTCCTTCTTCCTTTCTTTAGCCTTCTCTTCCTCTCGCCCAGTTTCCTCCCCTGAACCCTGGAGGGAGGGAGGGAGAGAGAAGAGAACAACTGGTTGTTTCGGCCCCAAAACGCCTAATAATACACATCTCATTACCGGGCCCAACCCTGATGGAAGAATGGAGAAGAATAAAACAACAGTAAGAGAGCTCACGAAGTTCCGCCCCCGCCCTCCCTCCAAGCGCCTCGGGGACGCAGGCAATCCCCTCCACCCAGCGCGCCTACCGTGACGGACGCTTCACGCAATCTGTCTGATGTGCTGTCTGTTGTGCTTTTTTCGTCCCATCCCTGGATCTTGCACGCCACGGGCATCTCAGTCTCGTCCAAGGAATGGACGGACTGATGGATGAATGAATGGATGGGGGGGACCCCGAGAACGTAAAGGCCCCCTGCCCGTAGATGATCTACTTTTTTTTTCTTTTTTTTTTTTTTTTTTCGCGTGCGGATTGCCGATGCACGTCGGGCATGCACTCGCCCAATTTATGCATCTTATTTCATTCTTATTTCATTTTGTCTTCTACCGTGGCATTGGGCTCCGATCGCCGTATGTTCGGCACGCGGGATATGCAGCGCAACTAACCTAATTGCTGTGTGAGTGGCCGCCCTGAGATTACCTCAGGGGGGGCGCATTGCCTATTTCAACCACCCCGACCCGCCGCGCGATGCCGTTTCCAACTCTTCCAAGAAAATTGGTCTTTTGCCAGAACGAGCTGGCCCAGAGGCGTCCGCATCGCCTTGTCCGTAGAGGAACACTTGTCATCAGGGGGGTGTTGCGTTGAGAGATAATCTCCCCTTGAAACCGAAAGAATTTTGCCGGGCATGAAGTGGCGATTCAGGACACACACACACACACTCACTCACTCACTTAGACTTACCGAGTCGTGTGGTCCCCTGACAATGGAACACGAGACCGTCGTCGCCTCGTCATTTTCTCCCAGGGTCTATCCACCACCCAGGCTGTGGGACCTGATCCTGCCGGAGTGAGGCTTCGGCTCGGCAGTGAAGAAACGGAGTGGGTCACCCAACATCCGAGCACTCGGATCACGGCCGATATATGGCCTCCCATTCATATCCACTTTGACAGCAACATCCATGGTGATCTAAATCAATGCCGCATCGCATATACAGAGTCTGTATTCTCTACCATCTTCCTGAACCAATGCTCTCTACTGGTTGTATTCGTACAATGCTGCCTTCGTGTCGTCATTAATGATACCGGCTTCCCTTTTTCCCCTAATCATTACCAAGACGCCACTCCTTTGCCCAAAAGAAAAACGAAAATGTCCAATATGAAAAAATACCAAACCCCGTGCTGCGCTGCAAACGCCTTTTTGTTGCTTTTGCCCTCCGCTGTTGTTACAATGCCGCCACATTAAGCGAAGCTGTCTTCTGCGTTCCATCGGCTACTCTCGTCCGCCTGGGCCGAGACGGGAGCTGGTGCTCGTGGCGTAACCGGAGTCCGGGCCGGGATCTCGGCCGGCCTTTCTGCTGGAGAACAAGTCGGGACCTGGGCAACGTCGCTGGGCAAAAGCCCCTCTTTCACCAACGCCTGAAATGATGGGTCGCGCGCAAGCATATGCTGCCGTTTGACGGGTAGTCCATCCAAAAGCTTCAGCTTCTTGCAACATCCCACGAAAACAACCTGGTACAGTCGGCGCCGGAGCCGAGTCGTCTCATCCAGCCGCCTGGCAAACACCGCGTCCCTCTCCGGATCGGCCTCGGGTAGAGTGAACGGGTCGGCGACATGGCCTCGGTCCGCTGATATCATAACGTGCACTGGCGGGTAAAAGCCCTGGGTAATCGGATTGTCCCGCAAGTCCAATTGCGTCAGGTGCGGGAAGTCCGTCAAAAGCTCCGTCACTGTCGTCGAGTCCGACAGCCGGTTTCCGGCCACAAGAAGCTTCTTGAGCCGGGGAATGAATCGAATGGGTGAGAGGTCCGAAACCGCGTTGAAATTAAGGTTCAGCGACCGCAAATTTGGCATCAGCTGTCCGACTCCTTCCGGCAAGAACCTTAGTCCACAGTTGGCCAGTTCGAGCAGTTGTAGGTTGAGAAAATCGACCTTGGGCTCAAACGTGCCAATGTAGTTGCCGGACAGGAACAGTTTCCGCACCTCGTAAGCCGAGGAAAGGAAGGAAAGGTCCAGTTGAGCATCGCTGCGCTGCTCCCTTAACGAAAGACTATCCAAGTGCCGGGCCTTGGTGAATCCGGTGATTTTGTTGATGCGGTTCCTGTCCGCGTGAAGCAGGCGGACGGCTGGCAAGCGACTAATGTCCAGGTCAATAATGTCATTGTCGCTGAGGTCGAGATACCGTAGTCCGTCCAGCCCTTGCGCATCTTCGGCGGTGAAGCTTTCCAGGCGGTTCTTGGAGAGTTTGAGGGTCTGCAAAGACGAAAGCTGACCGGCATTCCGGATCCCCGTCACCTTGTTTCCAACCAGATCCAGCTCCGTCAATCGATGAAGCTTGGTGCCTTCGAAATCAGCCACCTCGATCAGGTTGTTGCGTGCCCGGAGCGTCAGGAGCGCATCGTGCTGGTCCAAGCCGTCCAGCGAAGTGAGCTTGTTGTTGTCAGCTCGCAAGCTACGAAGATGGACAAGGTTCTTCAGGGCCGAGAGACTGGACAGGTCATTGTTGGAGATGTCAACGTATTGCAAGTTGGCGAGGTGATCCCACGATGTCAGCTCCGTCAACATGTTGTGCGTCATCTTGAGCTGCCTCACTGAGGCAGGTACTCCATCCAGGTGGCAAAGAGCGTTGTTTGACGCATCGAGGCTCACCAACCGCCCGCAAAACTCATCCAACATGTGGAGGCTCGATAGCCGCTTTTCACTCATGTCGAGTTCCGTGAAGTCCTCCCAGTATGGCTCAAACGGTTCGATCTCCGTCAAACGGTCGACGAGATCCCGGACTGTCATGGACATAACCTTTTTAGAGCCATCGCCAGTGACAAGACGTTGATTGTCGACAACGTAGCTGACTTCGAAGCCGAATGACTTCTCGTGGTGGTTCATGGTGAAATCGGACATCGGGCTGAGCGACAGGTTGCCAACGTTGTGGGCGATGAATGCGCCTGCGTCTGGGTAAAGACCGCCCATTCTTGTCTTGCCCGGAGTTTTGATGATGAAGCTCAAACTCTTGTCTTGCTTGTCTCGAGACACGTGGCTGAGGGCACTGTTATCGGCCAAAATGCTGATCTGTCGTTCATCGGCATTGCCTCCTACCACACTATCCTCGTCTCGTTCGTCAATTCGGGAAACGGGGCGCGGAACGAAGGATTGACCACGCAACGAAAATTGCCTCGATGGACCACGAGCTGGGGCAGTACGTGGGCGTGGCTGCAACAGGTTTCGTCGCGCGGCTTTCGTCAGGCTCTGGTACTTGCTTCGCTTGGATTCTTCCGGGAGAAACTCTGCGTCCACGAAGCTACCCTCATCGTCTTCGAGACTATCGATGTCTTCGGCGACGACGTCTTGGATGACGGAGGCGATCGGCGAAGAGAACGATATGGTCATCCGCCTGCGGGAGGGGGACGAGTCGATGACGCGATCCTCGTCGAGTTGTATCTCATGCTCCACGTCTCCATCACTTGCTGCTTTGGTCCCGAGCTTTCTGAACTCTGTCCTTGCTTGCAACCCGATATCTTGGGGTAGCGCTGCATCGGGTGACAACGTCACAAAGCCCCTTCCAGATGCGCTCCTAGGCGTATTCAGAGAGCTCCTGGGCGACTGTGTTATGTTCGCTTCTCGTTCCTCCGCCTCTTTTTGTGCCGTCACCTGTCGCAAATGCTGCATCTCCTTCGTGATGTCGACGGACAGGTCAGGAATGCTTGCAAATGGATCATCCTCACTGTCCTCGGATGGGATGACATGCGAGCTTCTAGGTCGAATGCTTCCGCCCTTGCGCTTGATCCATATGTTTTGTTGACGATCAAGGTACATGCTGCCAACCTGGTCTGGTATCAAATGCGAAACACTCTGCGGCGCGATGGTTTTTCGCGACTCGGAACCTCGAGACGAAGTCGTGTGCATGGTGTGGGTGGTAGACGCACCAGACGAGTGGGTCTCAAAGTCGCGGAAGCCATCAGCATCGACTCGTTGCCTGTTCGGGTTTGCGCTGATGCGGATATTGGGAGGATCGCTAATAGTCTCGTCTCCTCCGAGGTATTGAAGGTCAATATGGCTGTTCCTGTTGCGGTTCCTCTCTTCAAGTTGACGCTCGACCTCCTGTGCAGCTCGCATGGCGTCCTGTGCTTCACTCATAGACCTCAGCGATGATGTAATGACGTCTCCCATATCACTAAGCTCCTGGTACTTCTTGAGGTAGTCGAGGATCTCTGGGTTGTCCTGTCGTTGTGGCGCTCTTTGCACTGGCTTTCCTTCTCGGCTTGGGGGCCGTGAGAGTGGCTCCCTAGTTGAGTCATCGTACAAATCTTCGTCGATAGCTGGGCTTGGCTCGCCGTATTCCGCATCAGATTCCTCCACGCTCGTCAAGCCACTCGGAGCTTTGGCTCCATTTCGGATCATGGCCATGATCTTGCCCGCCTCATCCAGAAAATCTTGGGTCCTGATAGAGGGCTTGCGATCTGAGTCAATGGTCGCACTACGATCATTCGCACTTGAGGTGAATTGAGATCCACGGTGAGGAGTCCGCCGTTGGGGCTGCTCATCCAGCTGTTTGTCAAGCAAATCGTCCTCAAAGGGAAACTCTCCTGGTTGAAGCGAGGATCTCGAACTTGGGGTTGGCGTCCGTGGCCGAAGGATATGGCGTGTGGCAAGGACGGCGGGGTGGGCTCTTTGTTGTAAACTCCCCGGGCGAGCATCCTTGCGTTTTTTGCCCATCATGCTCTGCATCAAAGCATGGGTTTCTTGAACAGTATCCAGGAGTGCATAGCTCTCTTCCCGCCCATACGCAATGTCGGACTTGTGGAGCGTCCTCCTGCGCTTGGGTGTTGGATCTTTGGATGGTGAGGTGCGGGGTCGCTTCCCTTCCGAGCCCGTATCACGTCTCTGGGGTGTTCCCAGCATGAACGCGGCGGATCCAGCAAATTGGACTTTCGGTACGCTTCCATCGCTGGTTGAAGGGGTATGTTTTGAAGACGAAGCCGTCGTGGTTCCTGACTTTGCACGTTTTCGAGGAACGAACATTGAGGCTTCATCGGGTATCGGTGAGCCAGGAACGAGATCAAATCGCAGAACAGATCCCTCACGACCACCACCATCATCATCATCATCATCATCATCATGGTCGGGTACGTGTTCCGATTCTTCCTCGTCTTCGTAAAAATGAGATTCCTCCTCGAGCCGGATGGAGAGATCTTGGTTGAATCGATAGCCTTCGAGGTCACCAGCCCCAAATTGACTGATAGAACGAGAGCTTGTAGCTGTTTGTTGTGCTGGAGCGGACAAGTAATCGCCTGGAGCGGTATGGGGTCGTCGTCTTCCACCCTGCTTTAAGAACTCGCCACTGAGGGATTGACGTGAGGATGCCGACATTTGTTCCTCAAATTGGCTGATGCGTCGCAGAAGCGTCTGATTCGTGAACGTGTCGTAGGGCCCAAAGAGCTTCAGGGGACTCGTGCTGCTAGTTCCAGCTGTTCCGGGCTTTTCGGGGCTGGGCTTTGGTGCGCGCAGAGGCAGGGGACTTTGAGTTCCTAATTGCGGGCGGCCAGGTGTTCTGACGCTTGGGAACTGCTTGGGAGTGCTAGCCTGAAGGGACTCTTCAGGGAGCATCTCCGATGTATCGACGCCCATTCCAGGACTCAAACCCCGGTATCTAAAGGACCCGTCACCGGATGTACCTCCACGACGTATGTTGAGGAAGCCTCCACGTCTTGCGTACTCCTCGGTTGTCTCTATCCTGTCGCTTTCGGTATCATCGAGGGTACCGTCTGCGTCAAACCTGAGCTCGCCTTGCGAGTCTAGCAGCATCTGATCGATCTGTAGTTTCTCGAGCCGTTCTTGAAGCTGGTCGACGGGAAGCCCGACTGGCGCAGGATTGGTGTTTCCTTCATTCTCCTTTTGGCGTGAGAGCGTGAGAACGATGGGACTAAAATCTTCATTCCGAACGACGCTTTGCCCACTGGTCTTCCGCGACGCGTCGTTTAGCGGTGCCAGGCCCGACGCGGAGGTCGCGAGGCTCGGTTCTTCGGTGTAGCAACCACGCTGCGGACTGGATTCGGTCAACTTGCTCTGTTGGATGGAGTCGTCAGTCGATGGTTTGAAAGTGATGTGAGGCGGGCGAATCCTAGGGCTCGGGCTCGGGCTTGGATCCATTTGGCTTCTCCCATCCGACTCGTCGTCGTCGTCCTTGTCTGCGTCCAGATCCTGGAGCCGGAAGAACGGAGGGCTTGAGGGCATGGTGGTATTTTGTCGTACGCTCTGATCAGCCAAGGTGCTGTCAGGGTGAGGTGAGGGCGGCTTGAACATATTCTCGAGACCGGCGGCTGCCGAACAGAAGAGATCTCTCTGTTCGCCGTAGCCTATGTCTCCATAGACTAGTCTGCGTTTCCATTCTGGGGTGTCGGCGGAACCCCTCAATGGCGATGACTGGAAAGACTTGCGGTGTACCGTATTATGGACCACAGAGCCGTTTGTAGATGCCGAGAGAGCGCGACTGGTTTGCCGCGATTGCGCGTCGGGTTTGATCTCGCGGGACAGCTTCGAAGGGCGCCGTTGGGAGAGAGGAAGGTTGATATTATTGAAACTCCGTTCGCTCAGAACACCGGGGCTCTTGTCGCTGGTTCCGGCGCTCGAAGGTCGTATCTTACTGACGGGGAGCGGTATGCGACTGCCGGGTCCCTTTGCGTTTGGAGTTTTGTTGTTCTCGGTCGGCTTCAGAGGCGGCAACTGGGAGGACGGAGAAGTCTCAGAGCCAGCTTGTGACGGCCAATCCTCCGACAAGGAATCGAGCCAGGCATGAGCCATATTGCTGTGGCCGATGCGATCGAGGTATAGGGATATCCTGGACTATAAACAGTCCATCGAGCAGGTGGTAGATGGTTCGGGGAACGAGGTCGCGGTTTGCGGGGTGTTTGTTGTCGCGATTGAGTTGTGTTTACGAGAGCAGTTGCACTGCCAAGGTCGCAGGGTTGAAAATGCAGAAGGATAAGATAAAATGCAATATCGTGATGGGCTATAGAAAAAGACGAAGAGACTGCTGGCGAACGCGCCTCTGTTGCCTCCGCTGCCTGCGGTGAGGGTTAGTCAGTCGTGATGTGAGGGTGAAAACGAGGCGGTGGTAGTTTCGTGGGGAACGCGATCGCGTTATGACAATCGAACTTGTCCAGGGCTGTTTCCCAGAATAAACATACCCCAATTCAGTGTTATGCTGATTGGCAGGCACCATGTTGCTGTGTCAACCGCCACAGGCCACACTAAGATCCGGCCAGGCCATGACCGTGACCCAAAATTCCCCGATCTCCCGATTAGCGCCTATCACTGTATCGGGTAGTGGGGGTCTTCACTTCATACGCATATTTACTCCGTGCATTTGATTCATTAGTCACGTTTGTTCTCCACGCGCCACACAAAACCCATTTAAACGCGATATCACGTGGAGCCCCAGCTCTAGACGCGATCCATCGCGTCGCCTGGTGAACGTGCACAGGTCCGCGACCCACCAGATATCGCAAGGCATCGTTCCTCTTTGTCCACCTTTCAACGACTATGTTGTTTGTACAGTTTGGTTTGGTGGGCTAGGGGCTTCCGCTTTCGCAACGACCGCCGACCACAACCCGGATCAACGCCCGGCGCCAGTGCGACCGCAGCGCTACAGCATCTCTTGCCTCTGTTTGATTTCGTCAACGCAGTAAACGACCTTCGTGCTAGAAGTATCCACTACATACCGCACCAATGGATCTCGAGGAAGGATGGAGAGTCCGATGCTTGGACGACGAACCCATATACTGCGAGGCACCTCATGACGAAGCCGAAGTCCTGTATGCAGGCTCCGACGACGAACACTACGACAACCCCGACGAGAGGAAATCCCGATACGAGAAAGCTGCCATTCGGTTTCTGCAAGGCCATACACCTGTCTTGCTCACAACTGTTCTCAGAGGGCCTTTTGAAGGCCCCGACGCCAAAGGCTGGGTCAATCCATGGCAATCCAGAAGGAGAACGGCGCCAGTGTCATCCACCAAAAAGGCTGCGCCGGAGCATCTGTCAGAAATCACTTCAGATCCTGAACCCGAAATTCTCGAAACGCAGAACGGTGGAAGCCCGACATCTTGCCACTTGCCGAGTCCGCGAAGCCTTGACCAAGTTGACATTACCCCACATCCCTTCCTGGAAGAAGAGGACCTCCAAAGAGTCGAATCATGGAGGAGCACCGCCGAATCGGCAAGCAGAACGGAGGAACCTACCTGGTCATTTGATGCCTCGCTTTCTCAATCTCAACATCGGTCTCAACGCAAACGTCGCCCAGTAGGGTCGGAGTGGCTCAAAAGAGATGACCATAAACGTCGAAAGGCCGGCAGGGTGCACGATCTGGAACGGCCTTCTGTCAGGCCCCAACGTAATACACCAAGCCTACATCGAGAACTGTCGGATCCGAGAACGCCGTCTCGTCAAAAGCAACAAGATATCATCATGGCTGCGGAAGCCGGCAGGAAAAGCTTGGAGAGCCCTGGGGCCAGCTCATCGTCACCGCACAAAGCATCGCTTGCTGTTACAGCTCGATCTTCGCAGCGGTTGTCGTCACAGGCTTGCGACAAACGGAATTCTTCTCCAGAGATGCCAGCGCCTTTAAGTACGCCCTTCCAGACTCCGGAGTCTTCTAAAAAGCCAGTGACAACGCCGGGAAGAGCCACATTCGGGTCCAGGCTTCGAAGTAGTAGCGCGGCTATGATTGAACAAGCAACCCGTAGTGGTGACGAGTTCGAGACTCAGCAGGATGAAAGCTTTTTGTTCCGCGCCAGACCCCGGGCACATACTCCAGGCATTACGCAACTGAGCCCTACACCAAGAATGTCCCTTGAGCGGGTCTCTTCGCTGTCTTCCACGGATTCCTCCGAGACGGACTCTCGCGCCGAGTTACCTGACCTGGATGGGGACACATGTATGGCAGATGACACCAAAGCGACTTTTCCCGAATCCCGTGCGGAGAGCAATGAACACCACCGAGGGTCCCCAAAGGAAAATATGGAGCTGGTTGTGGAGCAAGCGACGGAAGGTGAAGTGGAAAACGACAGGCCGCAGTCAGCACATTCAAGTGAAAAATCGGCTACTGGCTACACCGAAGATACCTTGGTTGCTACAAACCATACGCCCATCAGAGGGCTTAAGCAACCGGAACTTACCCAACCGAGCCCGACAACTAAGCAGGATGTCGCCGAAGTGAGGACTGAGGGATCAGACCACGAATCAACTATTGTTGCCCATTCTGTCTCTCAGGAAGAGCAGAACAAAAAACTAAGCAACGATGTCGGCCGCACTTCGCTACCACCAACACCAACCAGTCGACTTCCGATGGCAACCCAGTCCGCGCCTCCACCTCCGACTTCACAGCATAGCACCATGTCGAAGACCCTCCCCCAAAGTCCTTGGTCAAAGCCGAGCCATTTCACCGTAAGCAGTCCTGTCAGTAGGTCTGACGAGGGTCGGCAACACTTGGGCAACGTTGAGGCCTCTATTGGCGGAGGAGCTCCAACCCATGACCTTCCAACAACACCATTGACGGCTGAAGTGGAAAGGGAACCTGCATCAGGGTCCATGAATATCGATCCTCAGTCAGAGGCTGGAACGTCGCGTATTCGCGACGACTCAAGAATCAAGAAGATCATCGGTGAAGGAGATAGTCCCGCGGTACCGGCCTCCCAACAGAGTCCATGGAAGGCAGACGTGCCAGCTATGGCTCTGCCTCAGCAGCAACAACTCCCTACCGAAGACGGCCATGGGAGCTTTGTGGATCCCAGCTGCCAGAGTCCCTGGACTGCGAGTCCTGAGAGAATTCGTCAGACCGCGCAAGCAGCTTTACTGTCTAGTGTTTTTGCCGTCGCAACACCGGTCTCGCCATCTCCGCTCGCACCTCCACCTCCAGTCTCTGTGAATTCCGATGCGCTTGTTGCCGATCGTGCTCCCGATACTCAACATGCTGCTGCCGTCGCCGATATCGCCAGTCCAAGCTCTCCTGCGCCGATTCTTTGCATCAAGTCTTTTGCGAAATTCATGTCTCCTTCACCAGAACAACCTCACCGCCGGTCCAAAAAGATCCGCTTGAGTGACGGCCACCTACCCAGCACTCAAAACCTCATCGCGGCGACGACCGATAACCCCTGGGGAAATTCGCCAAGGCCTTTTAAACGAGTCAGGTGGGCACCGATGCCCGACGAAAACGACAATGGAGAGGGCCGGTGCCCCCAAACTCCGACGGGCCCTAGAGCCTTATCTCCTCCACCAGAGACAGCAGTGGCTGACGTATCAACCGGCGACGACGATCAGTGCCTGAAGATTTTCCAGAATCATTTCAAGGCTGTTTCGCGACGCAGGAAGCTTCACCACCATCTCCTGCCGTCCGCGTCCCAGCAGTTTCTTGAAAGTCCGGCACCCATGGCCATGGCGGAGGCCTTTGTCGCAGCAGACTCTCTCAGAGCACCTCCGGCCCCTGAAGCAACCACGTGTCCTGGAGAAATATCCTTACCGACGAACGCCGAGACCCAGGAGTCGGCATTGGATGACGTTGCCGACATTCTGCGTGACGTCAATGAGTTTATCGGGATGTTCGACATTGAGGCTGACCTTGCGAGGACCAAGGAGGAGGAGGAGCAAAAAGTCATCGAGAGACGACAGCGACAACAGCAACAGAGCCATGGTCTGGGCGGCGCCTTTGTCAGCGGTTTGAACTTTGAAGGAATGATGGATGCAGGAGTATGGGATTGAAGTTGTGTTGGCTGAGAAGAGAAATTCTGAGAGGCGGGTGTCGTTCTCCAGTGGCAGGGCCATGTTCAAGGAAAACTGCACAACAGTGTTATTATACCAAGTCTTTTATCAGCGAGGTGTTTAGGGTTCATGGCCACACGCCAGGACCAGGGGATATCCCTTGTTTTTTTCTTTAATTTGCGAGGGTAAACAGTTGCTACATGGTGTTGCGGCATGACCAGGGCCTAGATATATGTAGTCCCTCAAGTCCAACCAAGTGCTATATTACCAACATTTGAAGCGGCTCCAAAGCTCGTATCGCCCAGCCGTGCCAGAACATCTAAACAGGGTTAAACATGCGACCTTTGGTGACGCTGAGTTGGGCAGAAGTGGAGGATAAGCAATAACAACGGTTTGTCGAGACGACTGTAGAGAAGACACCCAAGCCACGCGTCTCTGTGTCTGCGTCTCCGTCTCACCCACGACCCTCCTTCCCCTGGTGGGCCTGGATATAATCGTGTAAAGGATAGTCTGGTATTAGTTGATTCCTTCGCACATTTCCAACTGTTTCCATTCTCTTCGAAAATGCTCACAAGGCTAACTGCATGATTTCTAAGCTACATCCATCAGGAGGAAGAGGGTGTAGGAAGGGGACTGCCGCGAAACCCAATAGAATGACAGTGAGGTGGTATGCCAAGCGGGCGGAGACCCATGCATACCACGGTGGCAGTCACAAGCCTGATTCCATTGGTTTTTTTTGCTTTAAACGCCGGTCTTGACATTTAAGCCCAAGTGACTCGGATTTACCTTGGACGGAGTGACTATTGAATGCATTCCCTATTCTGGTTGTGAAAGTCGGGTACGGGCGGAGCCTGTGACGTCGAAGCGCAGCATAGGCAGTTCAGGCTGTTAAGAACAGAGAGGGACAAGGAGTGTTACTGTAAACATGGCTTAAACAGGTCACGATTATTTGGTTAGACATAGGGTATTGCCTCGAGTAACCTAGAAGGGCAACAGAACGAAGTAGAGTGTAACGAAGGCTGGTGAGCAAGCGTAGGAGCGAGGGATAAAGCAGGAACGCGCTAGTAAGCTAATAGCAGGTGCTTGCACTACCGGTAGACAGCAGGCCTACAGCACTGATTACGTGATTTAAGCGTTGCCACCGTTTGAGAAAAGCGGGGCACGTAGGCTACAGGCAGCAACAGAGTAAGACTAGGTACTTAACCCAGAGGGTTCCCCCCTCAGAGGGCGTTGAAAGGCAGGACTTTCTTCTTCTTCATTCTCTTCCACACGCTTGCACGCAAGAGCGCCGACAGAAACTCCTCCCTCATCTTATTTTTTCTTTTTGAGCGGGACAGAAGGTAAAGGGCCGGAGATTCGAATCGCCAGAGATTCATACTCCTCGGTAGTTGGATTTGTCGAGAGAATCATTGCTGAATAGCTGGGGGGACCGCTATTCAAGGACGGAGATATTGCTTGGTGGATTTCTATGCTAAGGACATAGTCAAGCAATCGTCGCAGACATGGCACATGATTTAACCCGTTATGGTTTTACCATAAGAGTTCAGGCTCCTCAAGTAATCGTTGCAGACATAGCACCTCAGATGGTCACCCCGAACAATTATAGGCAGAGCCGACTGACCGAATTTTATGACACTGTTCCCACCCCACGTGTGACTCGGAAGCCGAAGGCTGTCAACGAGAATATAGGGGAGGTACGAACACAGACTCTGATACCCCAGCATTTCCATCCTGACCCACGTGAGACTTGAGAGTCGGAGGCTGTCGACGAGAACATAGGGGGGGGACTTGGCTCTGGCCACGGGGGTGGCGAGCGACAGCCCGAATCGGATGATGGCTTGGTTTAGCCGTTTGACGGCACCCGAGAAGGGTGGTCGGGACGGGGGCGGATGGCCCTGGCGCGCAGGTGGCGGAAGTTGGACCATGAAGTTGTTGATGTTCAGTTTGAGGATTGGAAACACGAGAATCCTGAGTTAGAGAATGATATTGTTTGCTTTCTTTGTCGCTTCTTGGTGCTATTTCCTGCGACATAAGAACAAGGTGATGTTCCAATGTGCCAATAACCACTGTCAGCTTCGAATAATACCTTTACCCACGCATGCATTTCGGCCAGACACCTCCGAGGCTTTGCAGCATATCGGCACTCGTGGAGTATAGTGCCATGAGTGTGCTATTCGCACTTTTGCACCTAGTGTACTGCCTAGTGCGACCGCTGGATCCTTTCTCTATCATTTCAGATTCTCTGCTAGGAGAATCGGCCTTTGCAGGACACAAGTGGAATGGCAACCGTACAAAGCCCGAACTAGCAGATCCTCATCAACACCCGAGGTCTTCTTCACTGGGGAGCGCAAGGAACTCACTCGGCCAGTGAAAGACTTCGTCCGCATCATCCTAGGCCCGGCCCTGTCTCAACTTGGTAATAAGGCTGCTGCTTGGTGCTTGTCTCTTACACCACCACATCAGCTAAGCGCACCTTGGTATTGGCGGTGACAGTTCAGATAGGTGTCGTTGGATAATTACGTTGATCGGTGTGCGGGACCGCCCGCAAATGATACTACTGAATCCGATCGCAGGCAGTACATGATAGCGAATGGCAGGGTAGTCCGAAGGTCGGAGTTCATCCAGGCTCGACTCCGAGAATGGACTGCAATTGTGTCCGCCAAGCACATTTACACAGGCAGGCCTGCAAACCAGATGTCTGTTTCTGGTTCCAGATAACTCTGTGCCACAATATAAATGGTCTCATTGCTCGGCGTATGACCGTTGCGGTGGATAACATCATCAGGGCATCCTCCAGGGCCGGGCCTTGTTGAAAGGGAAACGCGGAACTAGAGGCCGGCCCCCCCCGCCGCTTTTTAGGCTCTGCTCTGTGCTCAGACGCGCGGGTGGCAGCCTACTAGGTAGTAGTTTATGTAGCGAAAGACCTGCGCTTCCGGGCTAGGGACGGTGGTAGACGGGCCGAAGCTGTGGCTACCAGCTCGCCGCGACTCAAACTCTGAAGGGTCTAGAACGGTGGATGTGAGACAAGGGACGGGGGACGGGGGACGGGGGACGGGCAACGGGGGTGCCTTGAGGGTTCAGATCTCACTGTTGGAGCTAAGTTCCAACCAAAGTAATAAGTCCCTTTACGTCCTTTCTGACTCTTCTCGCAGTGGGGGCTGTACTTTTTTATCTGTCCATCCATCTGCGCAGCCTCTTTGCTTATTCTCGTTGGGGGGTATTTGAGACCACTGTGAGGTAGCTGAGGAACTTTGGTATCCTATTGAGGACGAAAGAAAGAAAACCGCATGGGATGCTGTCGATGTGATGGTTCCTGATCAGCCACATCCTAGGAGCACAAGGTGCGAGCCGCCCTCTTATCCCCCCTGTCGCAGTCAGCTCGGAATGAGTCCGGACTATTGGCCGACGATAACGCACATTTCTCCCCCCTCCCTCTTGTTCTTTTCTGAGACGCAGCGCATCGCCCGCGCTCTGTTTGCCATGCTGCTCTCGACCCCTCTCAACTCTCCAGCCGGTCTCCCCATCTTCGCAGACGTGAATAGCCCTACGGGCGACGATGACAGCCAGTAAACGGCCTTTCGTGTATGCGTTTCGACGGGATTCCGACACACTAGCTGCCATGATGACGTGCCGCGCGCCGGCTATGCCGCGCATCTCATCGCTCACGATGCATGCGCAGTTTGATCTGGATTCGGCGCGACCTTCTCACTTCTCCTCCACAAGGCCGGACATATCCCTCGAGTATGCACGTCTCTGACTGTTGCCACGAGCGTGGTTGGCCGAGACTACGAGGAGACCACGCGTGGCACGAAGAACGAGAGCCAAACGCTGCAAACGACAGCCAAGCCCCAGGGTGACCTGTGCTGCCTGGCAATAGTGGACTGTCACCCTAGTGTATGTTGTTGTACCCTTGCCCATGGAACGATCCCTCCCTTTGGTTCAGGTGTGTAAACATAGAAAGATGCACGGATCGTTCCGCACTCATATGGACGGCCGAGTCATAGACACAGCAGACGAACCCTTTAGAATCTCTAATCCCGCTTCAAGTCTTGCTTGATCTGCGGTACGGCTGCTGTGTCTTGAGAGCCTGAGAGGGCGCCGGGCTGACGGACGGTTGCTACGCTGCAAGGACCCGTCCACAAGCGAGCAACTCGATACAACGGGCAGTCGACATAACGGGCAGGGGTTATCATCCTGGCCTCTTCTGCACGTGTTGGCCAGGGAAAAAGTACAGGGGTTGGTTGCGCGAGAAACGAACATCCTTTAGCGCACACGCAAATCAACAAAGGGAGAATAAGGAATATTGGCCGCCATGCTCCGGATAAGCAGCCCTGGGATGACCCCGGCCATGGCTGGCAAGCTTCAGACATCGAAACGTGCCACCGACAGGGCTTAGAGAGGGCGCCACAGGCCGTTCCGACGGAGGCCAAGAGGCTCCGGATACCGTGCCATTGGACGACATCTTCCACCTTCAGAAACAGACACTCGGGTCGTGTTGTTCTGCTGATCCTTCCCGACTTCGTGTTCAACCGCCACGAGGAGGCGATCCCTTCGACAACGTCATGCCGTCCGCATGGCGTCGTTACGATGTTGGCGGAAAACCGCCTTTCCCACGCTCTTACTCACAACCACCTCGTGAAGAGGCCTCTCTCTCTCTCTCTCTCTCTCTCTCTCTCTCTCTCTCTCTCTCTCTCTCTCTCTCTCTCTCTCTCTCTCTCTCTCTCTCTCTCCGCCGTAAGCACGTCTTTTTCCGTGATAACGCATGCTAGGCTGAGTTGGGCGAGGCAATTTCCCCCCCGGCAAAAGTAGATGGACCAAATCGTCCGTCTTGGCCCGCTGCACCTGTGAATTCGCATGCGGCACAGCACCACCCAAGGGACGAGAAATGCAACCACCAACGACGATTCGACAAGGGCCACAGGAACCAGAGTACGGCGATCCACTCAGAGTGTCCTGTGTAAGCACGACTGACGGCGTCTCACGCAGCGAGTTAACCCCCC